ACTTTGTTTATACAGTACTGTAACTTTTGGTGATTGTACTGCATACTACAGTACTATAGTTTTGTGTTCTGTTATATATTACAGGACTCCACATTAGAGTTATGCAAATAAAAGTAAAGTCATCAAGGTGGGGTTCCCTTTCACCATTTCTTTGCTCTGAATATTGTAATGTACATACTATACACAAATTCCTCATTTATTGTCCAACTCATTTAATGACCTAGTTCAGGAAATGAACGTGATCATTAAATGAGGAGTATCTGTACATTGATCTATTTCATCATTTCTATGAGATCCTATTAGCTCAAGTGTGGGAACACCGAAGCTCAGGAAGTGAAGTAACTTGACTAAGTTCACAGAGTTAGTCAGTGGGATTTGAACTCACGTTTCCTGACCCCTACACCACTATCCCATGATGTCAAGTGGTTCCAATTAGAAAAAATTTTTAAGAACCAAGAATAGGAGCATCCATCTGTGCATGAAGCTGACCAAATTTTATTTTATTCATCGTGTGTTTCTGTACCATCTCTCACCTACTGTATCTGCAGGGAACCTGGGTCAGTTAACATTATCATAGCTGCTATCAAACATTATGGAAAAGTAACAAAAGACAATCTCAAGTTCATGCCAGAGCATCCACGAAAGAAGCTCTGTTCACCATCATATATCTCCTCCCATCCCATTTCAAGTAAAATCAAGCATAGGGGGGGAGAGAGAGGGAGATGGAAAGAGAGAACATATTTTAGGTCCTCCTTAAAATTACTTCTTTCCATCAAATCGCAAGCTGTCATAGCTTACAAGCTACAGATGTTGGATGATACTTAGGGGTGATCTCCAAGTCTTTGTCCAGCCCTAACTTTCTATGATTCCAATAGGTTAACAATTACTATGACAGAAAAGCCTCTGAGGGTGTCTTCGTAATGTCTTGTAGCTGTCAGAACGTAAAGGGTTCTTGACTTAAGCTTGGTTATGTGAGACTACCCCTGAGCTTTTCATGCTGCAGGAGTTATTCATTCAGTATGAATAACTGGGACAAGTTATAGGATTTCAAAGACTAAGTAAATAACCTACAATCAGAAAATTCAATTTGTTCGTGAGGTGGAGAAAGGCATCCTGCTATTAAGCAGTCAGATGGAAAACATGCAGACCACAGTTTGTGCAAGAGAAAAAGAACATTAAAAGCCCTTGCTCAGAAACACAGGCAAGATAGGAAATGTACTCAGCAGAGTCAGCATGTCTATTGTAAACGTGGGAAACAGAGACGCATTTCTCCAATGGGGAGCAGGGGGAGGCTATGGGACTCACTCATGCAGAGATGACTTTGGATAAAGAGATTCTGGTCAAGCCAAAATGTTCTCTGGGTCAGGCACAGCTATTGTGGCAGATACTGGCAATGGGTAACCATAGCAGAAGGCAGCTAGGTAGGGTGATGCGTGCCTGAAACCCTAGCACTCTAGGAGGCTAAGGCAGGAGTATCAAAAGGTCACGCCCAGCCTGGGCAATGTAGTGACTTAGCAAGACCATGTCTCAGAGCTTTAAAAAAAGGCTGGGGATGTAGCTCAATGTGAAGGTGCTGGGCTCACTCTCAGGTATAGGGGTGGGGTTGGGGAGAGGGTAGAAGGCACAATTTGACAGGGCCAGGCAAAAAAGATGCAGTCTTTGGAAACAGGAAAAAAAGCTCAAGATAATCACAAATTAATTATTATTGCAAAAGGTGTTGGAGAATTGCTGGGAATGGATGGCAAAGATTTTATTTGCGTTAAGAATCACCTCTACTCCCCAAGTGAATTATTACCTAGCACAAAGTTTGGCTGCTTTTAACTGCCTTGTTTTTCTGGTGTGTCATCTTTTCCACATGAAAGAAACTGTGATGTGTAAATTCAGACCTTGTGATGCTTATTTTGCTTTAGGATCTGTTATAATATCTGGGTGATGTAACCAAGGCTACTGCTAGTTAGCCCACTTGCCGGTTTTGTGCAAATTTGAAAAAGAGTTTCTCTTTTTTTTTCCCAACTGGATACACCCCTACACCAAAATGTCTACTTTGGCAAACACAACTTCAATATTTAGCTTTTTGTGTAAGTCAAGACTTTTCACCCCAAGCTCCTATTTCCTCTCTGCCTTTTATGCTTTCAGGGGCATGATGAAAAAGATAGGATTAATGCCCAGGAATAGGCTTAAACCAAAGAGAGGTAGAGTGGAGCTAATGGATAAATCACCAGCCTCCTTGCCTCTGGGGGATCAAGGGTGAGTTGTGTTTGCACACTGTCTCCCAGAGTGTCCTCAGTAGGATGGAACCCCAGTTGTTCAGAGTGGCCATCTACTCATGAACATACCCTCTGTTGATTTTCCTCCCTTCCTTCTTTTTCTTTCCCTTATAGGTTGAAGGTTTGGGCTTTGAAAATTCACAGCCCTCAATGTAGTATTGGGGAAGAAGAAAAAGTTTTGGAATGGGATTTCCACCCTTATGAAAAGAGACCTCAGAGAGCTCTCTCACCCTCTTTTCCCTATTTGAGGACACAGCAAGAGGCGAACAGTCTACAGCTCGGAGGTACTGAGTCCAACCCACCTGATACCCTCATCCAGAGATCCAGGCTCCAAAGGTGTAAGAAATGTTTCTGTTGTTTATAAGCCACCACACTCTGGTATTGTGTCATAGTAGCCTGAACGGGCTGATACACTTCCCTGTTCCTTCTTAATACCTCCTAGGATCAAAATCCTTGAATAAAAATTCTTTTCTGAGTCTGCTTTTTGGGAAGCCAAAGTTAAGACACTGCAATTCCTTTCCAGAATTTTAACTCTTGGTGTCACCCATTCCTCTCCTGACAGGTAGAGCTTTAGATCTAATTTGGCCAGCATGTGAAATTCTTCACAAATAGAAGCACTCAGGAAAGAAACAAATCACACCATTAGAAGAAGGAAAACAACAGTGGTCACACAGAGAACTTAAAATGAGAAAAGCTGATTTCTACAACCATCCACAATTTAAAAATGTACTTAAAGGAAAAGCAAATCATTAAGTCCTAGCAGTCAGCAGGGTAGAAGGAGAGGGGAAAAGACAGAAAGCTTGTGTTTATTAACACCTAGGCAGGGGACCATGGGCTTCAGGTTTAGTGTCACTATCTTGGTTGTGAGGTCAGGAGTCTTGAAGGAGGGGTGGGGAACGAGCTCACTTCTCTGATCCTCACTGCAGAAACTTGTTGGCAGATAGGTAGAAGCAGAAGCAGTTGTTCCCAGCAGAAACACAGCAGAGAGCAGGTGTGGTTCATGTATTCACCAGTTAACCTGCAAATCTGAGAACTCAATTCAAGTATCCATGGAGTTCTATGTTGATAATGTGCTAAGCTTGGCAGTAGGCACAACTTTCTGCCTTTGGAAGGGACACAAACCCTGTCTTTAGGGAATTTGTAATCCAGTGGAGAACATAAGGCATAGGACAAAAAGACATTTGGCATAGGACAAAAAAACTGCCCAGAAATATAACTCTCAGCTAGACTGTAAGCATCTTAAAGACAGGATTGTATTTTCTACACGTAAATATGGCCCGCAAGATAGTGCCTTGAATATGGAAGGAGCTTATGTAACCCGGTGTCTAAATTACTCAAAGAAGAATCACATTCTGTGTAAAAAGTTTTCTTGGAAAAATGATGACGGCAGAAATCCATTATGAAAGGCTTCAAGGAAGAGGTGATTTTTGAGCTGATTGGAAGTTCCAAAGTGAAACACTTGCTCTGTGGAAGTTCTTTTCGCTTGTTGGTATAGATCTGGGCTCTAGTTTAGAGATATGTCCTTTCTTCTGCCTTTCTTTGGTATCCCATAGGTGTATATTCAATTCTGACTTTTTAATATTTTTAATGGCATATTCTTAACATATCGTAACTCACAGCTTTTCCTTCTCTTGATATCAATGAAAGGATTTTATTTCATCACTTGCCTGCAGCTGAGGGACCGATGTTGGTTTATTCTTCATTGCTGTTCAGAGACATACTGACAAACACAAGGGTACATTTGAAGATACACAGAAAAAAGATAGGAAAATGCACCCTATTTAGGGACACCAAGCCTCCCAAAGGGAAAACCAGAGGCTGCCAAGTCAATTTGTGTTTTAACTTGTAATCCTTCATGCTCCCAGCTTGTAGCTACCTAACTCTCTTTCACACCCTATCTTGATTTTTCCTCTGTCAGGAATCATAACAACGCCTCCAGGAGAGCTCTGTGTATATCAGGGTAACAGCAAGAGCTTACGTGGGGGACCTTTACTAGGGAAGCGTTTGACAGGCACAGTTCCCCAGTGATCCAGCAGGGTCAGCACCTGCCCTGGCGAGAAACTGTCTATTAATTGATGAGTCATATGAAATTGCCATTTTTGTGAGTCAACAGATGGTTGATTAGCAGCAATTTTCCATGGTTCAAACCAGGATTCTGTAGGACAACTAGCCCAACACGTGGGAAAGTAAGATAAATAATCTTGAAAATCTCTTCTCCCCCATCCCCTCCTGTCCCATCCCCTCTCCTTCTTCCCTCCCTTCCCTTCCCTTCCCTTCCCTTCCCTTCCCTTCCCTTCCTCCTCCCCTCCCCCCTCCTCCCCCCTCCTCTCCTCTCCTCCTCTCCTTTGATTTTAATTCTGGCATTGGAATCTATCCATATAGCATCAGATGTGCTGATGTAAACCCTTAGTCTACTGAGGTCATCACAGCCAGAATAGATTTGAATCTCAGTTCCTAAGCAGAGACGGGCAAGAAACTTCAGAAATTACACATTCTTACATCAGTCTCATGGATGTACCTCTCTGGACGTCTCTCCTGACACTGCCAGAAAGCTGATGTAAATTTCTGTCCCTATGGAAGCTGGCAACTTCTCTGTCTCCTGCACTTCCCTCTAGACATGGGAAGATCCCTTTTACTTCCGTCTCTCCCCGGCTGCTCCCAAGGTGCTCTCCTGTACTATAAATCCCTTCTCTTCCTTCTATTTCTTCAGTGTGCTTACTAGGTTCTAAAAGTCTGGGGTTTGGGAAAGCAAAAGCCAGAGATCCTTGAAGACTCTACTTTCTGGTTATAATGTGAACTTCCCTCGGGCAAGGTAAGGCAGAGCCAACCTAAGTGGGACAGGTACAGTGGGAGGAAAAAGTGGAGGATAAAGCATTACTCTCACAAAATATTTAACCACAGGGGATTATACACGAGCGTGACAGGGACTAGAAATGTACAGTGTCATCATTTCCTTAATGATTTTTCCCGCGTTGAACTTTAATTCTCTTTAAGAGCAAAAGAAGCTCCTAGAATCATTTACTTCCAGTTCCTCACCTCAGTGAGATGAATTAGCAGAGCTCAGTCCCCAGGCAAGAGACAAAGGTAAGGTGCTGTGGGTTTGTGAGATGTGTTTGGGTTGGTTTCTGACTTGTGTAAGCTGGTTAATTACAAGTAATCCTAGTGAAAGCGCAGAAAATATTTCCAGATGCTCAGGATCAGAGCAGGACAGGCCAAAGCAACTTCCTCTCTGAGCTCTAAGTTTACAATTTCTCCTTGCATTTCTTTTTCTTTCTCTTAAAGCCATTCAAAATGTGGGGATTAAGATGGCTTCAGGCTCTCTGCCGCCCGTTCATGTGAGCGTGGCACTGGTTTATGTCGAGATGTATTTTTTTCATTGAACTTTCTGTTTGCCTCGTTGCCCAGGTGATGGATTCAGCTTTCGGGAAAGCCTTTTTGGGAGGCCTAACTTTTTCTACGCAACGCTGACAACAGATATTTCTAGCCCGAGTCAGAGAACCCTTCTTCATGGAGGTCGCTGTGCTGCGCCTTGCCTTCCCTGGCGTCCTTGAGATGCTGCCAAGGAGGTCGCTTGCTCTGCCAGTTGGAGAACACATCCCATTCAGGGGCTGCAGCTTCAGCTGGTCCCCCTGACAGTCTGCACAAAGGCACAGTGGGGAGGAGCTAGAGAGGACAAGGAGGGACATAAACTAAAAGCCCTGCTGACACACATTTCCCTGGAGTTTTCTGTTCAAGTGTGTTGTTTCCTGACAACTTTGAAAAAAGACACAAGGACCACACAAGAAGAACTCGGATCAGTGAGAAAAACGTGCTGGGTAAGACCTGAGATACAATAGCAAAGATGAACTGAAGCACCCTGTGGAGTTAGGAAGCAATAAAATGTTTTTGGATAAATCTCCATTTGGGGATGGGAGTCTGAAGGCTAGGGGGGTGAAAACACAAGTTACTGAACTAGGATGTGTTCTCCCACTGGCTCCTCAGAATGTAGGAGAAGGTGAGAAGATTCCTGGCTTGCAGTGAGGAAAAAGTCTCAGAGGAGAGTGATGAAGCAGGTCTGGGCCTGTTGGTGTGGCTGAGAATCAAGCACATGAAACCTAACACAACAGTTGCAATGACGAAATACTTCTAAATGGCCTCTGAAGGACTTGGAATGTGGCCCTGTATACGCTATCTGACCATTTAATCTCAGTACAAGAAAGAAGAATCCAGCAGGAATTTTTTTTTCTCTGTCTCTGGGCAAAAAAAGCAGTAGGGGTTGAAAGACAGTAGCGAATGGCGCCTTTGCCTCATGTGTGTGGTACAGAAAAGTGTTGAAAAATCAGAGGAAAATCTTTTATGGCCATTGACTGCAGTCCACAATTATGCAACTGTCAACCTTGAGGTCATGGATTTAGCAAGTTTTTCCACTTGAAGAAAAAATATTACTTTGAGAGGACTTTAACTTTTTAATGCATCTCATGCTACCAAGATCTTTTAAGGAAATATTTTTCATGGCCTTAGGTGTCCTGGGGCCAAGTTCAAATCTGGAGCTCAGTTATTGGGCAAAGATGGAGGAACAATCTCTGCCGGTCACAGGTCATCCCAGATAGTGCTAGCTCCCTGCCCTCTTCACATTAAAGGGACTGATCAGAAAGCTTGGAGGGGCATGGCTCTGAGCCTGGCAAGGGAGGAGGAGGCCAGAGACCTGCAAACCAGAGGAGAACACACATCTCTGCTTCAGTCCATCCCCTTCCCTCTCACCCTGACACACCACTGGAATTTTGGACAAAGGCTGACCGGTACTGGAACTTTCCTGGGGAAAGTCAGCCTCAGATGTTGACAAGCCATCAGGGGAATATAGCTGCTTACTATGGAGAGAGCACGACCCTATGGAGAAAGAAATGAAGAACTGTGAAAGGGATATTTTTATACGTGCTAGAAAACTAGAGAATTTTTTAAAGCTGATTTCCTTTTGTGCAAAAATGACAGCTAGGCATATGAATCAAAGTTAGAAGTGTATGTCCCAGCAATGGCCACTGACAGGTTGAGCTATCCTTCTTGCACATGGCTTGCCCCCTTCCCACATCCATCAGCTCCCAGTCCCCGGATTTTTGGTAGCAATGTGGCTACAGTGGAAAGAGCTATGCATATAACCACAGGATGTGTCTATCTCCCTGTTTCTGTGGCCTTAGAAAAATTGCTTACACTTGCCTGAACCTCTGTGATCTTGTCAGGGAAATGGGTACTTATAATTCCCCGATATAAAAGCTTGTGAAGGTCAACAAAGGAATACAAAGGGAAGAACTTCCAGGTGGAACTAAAGAATGCTGTAGACATGTGTGAGTCCTACAAAAGTCAAGCTGAAAGGCTGGGACTCTGAACATTGCATCCCTGCACAGAGGATCTAACTAAACACAAATGTAGAGACAGAGACAATTTTAAAGACTGTTGAGTCTCAGCATTTTCAGGGGCCTCCTTCCAAGCACTCCTTTCAGCTTTCTTGAGGAGGCCCCTCATTGCTCGGCTTTGTGTCCTTTTTCCTAATGGAAGAGTTCACAGACAATCTTACTGCATCTCATGGTACCAGTTTCCCGTGAAGGACAGTGAGGATTTGACTTTGCAGTTCCTCTCAATCTTCCCAGTAATTGAGATTTGAGAATTAATTTATCAAATATATAGTGTTAAGGCTATGCAGGACAAAGTACTTGATTTCCTTCAGGAACTGGCAAAATTTTAAAATTCCCCATCCCAATATTCTTCAGATTTCAGACTCTGTAAATTAATTTTGTTAAAGTGAAGAGGCCAGAAGGAAGTCTGTATCACCTTGAAAGCATTTTAGCTTATGCTATACTAAGTGAAAGGCATTGAGATTTATTTCTACTCCCCGCTGCCCCATCACTGAAAACTTTGCCCTTGTACCATATTTAGGGCAGGGTTGGAGGTTGACAGTGGATGCCAGGGAAACTTATATGTTATTTTACATTCACTCAATCTTTTCTTCATTTTTTATTACAGGTCTGTGAGCTCCCTAGGCAGGAGGAAATTCTGAATGAACTCAGTTTTTAGTGGCCAGGAGTGGAGACATAAAAGGAGCTTTTCAGCCTCTCTGGTTACAGAGATAAGTACAAAGGGTAACTGGTATTAAGTCTGTAGTAATAGCTGCTATAAGTACTGACCACGATTTGAATCTCTTGATAAATAATTCTTGGGAGACTGGAATATTTATCAAACCATTAGGAGAGGCTGCTTCTTGCTGATAAGATGCCTACAACTGATGAGGTCAACCTAAAGACAGGAATGAGGCCGGGCTGGATTTACAGCCATTTACGGGGAGAGCAAAAAAAAACGTTCTCCTTAAGAACAGCATGAGGCATTCATCAGCAAAATTATGCAATCTGTCGCCTGCAGCAAGCTTAGGGATCCTAACAAAACAGAACTGGTGAGCACCCTCTCACATAAGGTGATTGCTTACGGCATAGGTCTTGGTCTGCAAGTCACAGTTTCACTGACTCAGAGGCTGAGGCGGTAGAGGGTGTGATAAATGAGACAGAGGGATGTTTATCTGTGGATCTCACTTTCCAGAAAAATCTCACACTGAACTGCAAGGTGCCAGGTATGTGATTATCCTGGACTTAAAAAAATGAAATCACCCATTTTATACAGTGCCCAGGCTTTAGTCTGGGTTATTACTACAGTAAAAAAAGCTGCAGTCTAGGGAATGCTAACATTAAAAACAAAATAGCAAAAAAAAAAAAAAAAGTAAAAGTATTCACCTACATTTTATTTTTCCTCTTTGTGAAGCTGTATCTTGATGTGTACCATCACTGTCACCACTGTTACATTTTGGTGTTTCTTTTTTCTCTCATTTTAGCTTTTTAAAAACACAAATTCATCATTGTGTTCTTAAGAAACACGATTTAATTGGCTTTAAAAATACAATTTGTTTCTCTAGATTGATTCTATTTTTTTCAAATAAAATCTAGGTTGAGAGGAGACTACATTCTTGACCTTAATGGGACATCCTTTATACCTTGCTTTTATTTTATTTTATTTTATTTTATTTTATTTTATTTTATACCAGGAATCGAACTCAGGACCTTCCACTTGTCAGGCAGGCACTTGTGCCACTGAACTATATCACCACTCCTACCTTGCTTTTAATCAGCAATGCACTTTTCCCCTTTTCTAGGTTCAAACCATCTATTGCTCAACACTTGCCGACAGGCTGCTTAGAAGAAATAATAAATAAATTGATGGGAGAATTGCCTGGAGGATGTGCAGTTATTTTATTTGGCTGAATGAACTTGGTTTCTATCTCTGGATCAAACCATGTCATCAGAGAGATGGTAATTTGCATCTTACTGATTTTTGCTTCCATTGAATGAATAGTCATTTTTACTGAATTTGTGAATTTGAATTTGGTGTTTTGGTGTTATACCTTCAGTCTGCTTTAAAGACTCATTTAACAAATAGCTCTATGTGACATGCTGCTGTCAGATTGGCTGTGGTAGCAGGCATCATCTTCTACCTCCACTCTAACCCACCCACACCTTCACTTGAGAAGAAAGACTCAGTTTTCCTGGCTGGGTGAAGTGTGTGTGTATGTGCATGTGTACTTGTGTACACATGCGCATGTCCTAAACATCATTACTTTTGGCCTATTTGGCTTCCCTTATGCTTTGGCCATGAAGATGCCTAGCCTCCTTTGTGGCCATCTTTGGTAACTGCATGTTATGATCACTGCTTCTCTACCTGTTAACACACACTCTGGAGCCGGACAGCCTAGCTCTCAATTCTGTTCCACCTCTTCTTCAAAGCTTTTTGCTTTCAGCAAGTTTCTTAACCTATCAGTTTTCTCATCTCTAAAATAGAGACAGTATTAGTCTCTATTTCTTCAGATTATGTTAAAGAGTTTAAAATGTAACGTGCTTAGGATCATAGTTGGTGTAATATGCTCTGTATAAATGTTAGCTATTCTTAGCCTGATTGGTTTCTTCTTAAACATTATATTTTACTATGCAGATTTTTTTTTTTTTCCGGTACCAGGAATTGAACTCACGACTTTGCACTTGCCAGGCAGGCGCTGTGCCACTGAGCTAAATCCCCAGCCCTCCAGATGTTAATTAGCTACCTCAAATTATTTTGGGAAAGGGTAAGAAGTAAGGAATTCTAAAACGTGAAAATTCAAATGGAAAATTGAAGTGAATATTTAAACCAGATCAACATCCAAATTTTTACTTTATCTAGGTATTTTAGGTAAAAATCCTACATCACCTGGATTGACTTGGGGAACTATCGCAATGTCTGTACTCCATGTGAGCAGTGTCCCTGTTTCCTTCCTAAATGCTGAATTTAGAGATAAAGTGATTGAAGCCGGTTGTGGTTTAAGTGAATGTTAGGACTCACATTAAGAATGATCCAGTACTCAGCTGTCAGTCTTCAAGCCCCTATTTTAATGATCTTATTTTTAATATATGTACCCCCCTGTCTCTGACGTCTTCAGAATATCAGTGAGATCCATAACAAAACCATATCCAGAGTTCAAACCCCAATTCTTCCTCTTCTGTTGCTCTCCAGGTAGCCTGTGATTAAAGGACCAGGGCCATGGGACTGGGAACCGGCCTCTGGACAGCAGCCTGGGTGACTGTGCTTCCCAAGGGCTGGGCTTTGCTTTAGAAGAAGCAGAAGCCAAAGAAAAATGGTTCTTTTCCAATAAGCCTGGTTCTTGCCGACATCAGCCTTTTGCAGAGCAGAAATTCAGGCTAAAGTCTCAGTGCCGGGCTTGCCTTTGAGCCTTGTCCTTACATCGGGGCCAAACAGATGAAATATTAACCACCAGTGCTCTCCCCAAATCATTAGTGCTGAATCCACAGGTAATGAATTTGGCTGCAGGCTATTTGGGGCCTGTTGTTTTTATTCACCACCCAAAGCACACACTTCTCAGTAATGAACTCTCAGCGCATAAATGAAGGTACGCACACCATGTCCCCAGAAGACTTGGAATGTGTCTTCTGCCAGGGACTCTAGCCCTGTGGGCTCCAGAACCCCCATCAGGAAAAGAGAGGAAGAAAAGAAAATCACATAGCTGCCTACCCTCACCAAAGAGAGAACTCTATTTCTCAAGCCAAGTTGCTGATCTGAAACAATTTGGAGGAGTTTTAAAAGATCTATAAAAATAGATTCAAAGTTAAATTGTACACTTTTCCTCATTTCCATAATTATTTTAGATTGCTTCATTAGATTGACCAACATTATCATTTCTCACAATGATCCAAGGAGGCTGCCGACTTTGGCCTCATCTCTGAGCTCCCAGAACAGAAATCTCAAGAGAAGGGAGTTTCCAGAGGCTTCTGGGCCAACAAGAAGAGACAGATTTTGAAGATGGTCTCAACTGCCTAGTGTGGTGTTGACACTTCCAAGTTTTCCTGGTAGTCTAACCACAATGTAACTTTGATTAGTGGGGGAATGGCAAGCTAATTTTGTAGGGGACAACTCCTATATATTTTTATCAAAAAAGAAAAGCACAGTTCTAATCTAGGGAAGCCATTAAATTGCCGGTATATTATGCAACCCAAGGTGGATTGCTCAGCTGCAAGACTGGAGTGCAATAAATTCCATTCATTACACTGTCAAAGACACTTTGTTTTATGTACATTTGTGATCGCAGGCATATTATATGTGTGTGTGGTGGGGGATAGGTTATAGTATCAGACTTTTGCTGATTGCTCTTTGAAATATAAAAATCATATATTTGTAATATAAAAACCACAGTTTAAATGTAAGGTATTATTTGAAACTTGTTTCTCTGTACCCCATTCATAAAGTCAGCTGGTAATTATTTCCTACCTGGCATCAGTAAAGCCTCTATTTGTCTTTTAATTCAACGCTCTGAATCATAGTGCAGGGTTATAGTGATTGTGTTTAAAATATTATCTTGAAATATGCAAAACAGTAAGCTAACATGAAGTGAGCTTGGTTATCTGATGTTTAAAACTAGAACACTGTGAACAAACAGAAGGAGTGGTGAGGATAGGGAGAGAAAATAATTCTACTTGAATGTACTGCAACGGTAAATACATTTGAGAATCAATCATTATGGTTAAATGCTGAGCAGTGTCTAATACAGCATGACTAAAATCACATGAAAAGGTTGGTGAATGAATTTGTCTTCAGTGATTATCATGCACCAGGATTATTGTGATGGAAAACCAAGCCAAACTGGTTTAAATCAAGAGGAAACTTACAGGCCGATTTAACTAGACATAAACTGGGAGACTATTTATTCCCCGTGGGAGAAACACGCTAATCCATCTTTTCCGTTGCCGTATTCGCCATGCAGTGGGAGATGAATTCTCTCAGTGGTATGTTCCAGAGCCTTCAAAGGCAAGCTAACCAAACATTAAAGGTGCTTAATGATCTTTTCACAGTGAATCCTTTCTATTGTCAGCAGAGACAAAGGCCCTTCTCTTAAGGACTGTATAGCTTTGGCTCTGAATGTCCAGATTTTGTCTCTTGTCCTTGGCAAGGAACTGAGTCTTTTGAATCCATACACGTTTGGCAATGAGAGGCTAAGAGGGTGAGAATCTCTAACCAGGGAGTTTGGTTCATGCCCTGGGAGTTGAAGTCCCAGGGATTCTTAAGCTGAGGTCTGAGGATTCTTAAACTGTGGTACATCAACACCCAAGGGACTGGTAAGGTGGAATTTAGCTAGCTCCCTAAATTTGAATGGGAAGAAAATAACATCTCTATTTTTACTAATCTCTGAAATTTAGCTTCCCTGTATTGTGAATGTAGGAAACAAACTACAGTCATGTTAGTAATACTTACAACTTTGTCACCAGTAAAAATCATGTGTATTTTCATGTCATGACATTTCAGGTATTTCCAATTATTATTTATACTCTTTACTACTTTGAAATTATGGTAATTATTAGATCTCCTACAAGAGCTTGTTATTTTATGCATTAAAGAAGTGTGTATCTTAATAAAGTATTATAATTATATTTCAAAATAATGGATTTCCTTTGACATAGTGAATAATATTTTGAGATATTTTCAATAATTATAATGTGATATGAAAATATCTGTGATTTCTGTCTCACAAAGTCACAAGTATGCTAATATTATCATAGCTTTTCTATTATAATAGAAAGAAATGCTATGCTTCATCAAAAGTGAGTGAAAATGAAGATATAATATTTTTTCCTTATCTTAATACATTTGGCCCTTGAACTCTACTTATAAACAATTGCACATAAGAGAACTGTTAAACCACATAAATATTGGAGACTGAGAGTATGTTAGATCAATCCACAGTTATGCCTGAATCTTATCTATGATTGCTTGGTCATGAGAGTATCCTATCTAACTATTTATCTTCTATCTGTCAGGCAATCTTCCTACCTACCTACATATTTACTATAGTAACTATTAAGAAAGTATATATAGCTCATTTATAGAGGTGGTTTTATTTAAATAAAATGTTTTTACCTTTATAGAGAAGTGAACTAAACAATTTAAGTATTGCGAAGGAAAATATCTAACCTCACACAGATTGTTACTGTTCTAGTTTGATGATTGCAGGAGTGAGGGAACAAAAATTTATAGAACAAATATTTTTATAGGAACAAACTTCAGGTCAGGTGGATCATGACCTGGAACATATTCAGGGAAGTTAGGACATCAGAGAATTCTCTTTCACAACATGCTTACACGTCATATCTTCCTAATGAGAAAAAAATCATTTTATTGTGAGTTTTCCCCTTTAAAATAAACAGTAAAATATAAACCATAGTGGCTATGTTGTTATGTGTTTTCCTTTCCAACGTTTTATTTTATGATAACTTCTTATTTGTGTCTTTGTAGCTTGTGCTAAATTTAATGAGGGGAAGAGATTCATTCACTGGTAGTTTAGAGAAGAGTCAAGAATGATAGATTTCCTCTTACTGTTAATTAGAAAAAACATCACCCTTTTAAGAAAACTCCTAGAACAGAAAGGATGTAGGGTAGACCGCCCCCTTTTCCTCATGGAGAGGATATCTGTGTGTCTCAGAAGGCTGCAGAAAACCTCTGTGGTGCTCCTCAAACTGAAAGATGAGGCTGTTTGTGTGAGTGCATCCATTTCAATAAGGGGTTCAAAGAGATGTTTAAGAATTTACTTTCTACTATGTCCTCAGGACAAACTGTGATCCTCACACAAACTTTTTCTTGATTCTTCTAAGGTATCATTAAGAATTTAGAAACAAGGCTATGACTTTAAAACTTTCAAACATCATGAAGTCTAGTTATTTTTAACGTGAGGGTCTCATTTTGGAGGTGTTTTCAACAATATCTATACAAGTAAGGGCAAGATTTCCTTTAGTCCAGTTTGATATGTGCTTCAGTGAGGATATACTAGGTTGGGTCATGGTAACAAACAACACCCAAGTCTGTATATTTTAACTCAAGTAAAATTTTTACCATGCGTTTCTCTTGTGGTCAAGCATAGGGACGCCTGTTGACCATAGTCATGTGGGGACCAAGGCTGACGGGTGTCTCATCTTGGCGCAGGCTTCCCGTGATCTTTATACAAAGTGAAAAAGAATGTGGAAATCATGAACTGTCTCATAGCACCATGAATGCATTTTCTTCTCATATTTTACTGCCTAAGGATGGTAATACAACCATATCAAAGCTCAAAGGACCATATGTCGGAGAAAACAGCCAGAAGTGTCTGTGAATGGTCTTAGGAAAACACTGTACACCTTCTGGTTAGTATACACAATTAGACCTCCAGATCTGCAGCTTCCACATCCATGAATTCAACCAACCAAAGATTGGAAGTATTTCCAAAAAATCTGTATTTATATTAAACAAATATAGACTTTTATTCTTGTCATTATTCCTTAAACAACATAGTACAACTATCCGCATACCATTTGCATTATCCTAAGGACTACAAATAATCTAGAGATGATCTTAAGTGTACAAGAGGATCTGAGTAGGTTATGCGATAACTAGGCTATTTCATTGGAAGCAGCTTCACAGACTGCTGTGGTGTGGATGTCCCCCTCCAAAACTCACATGGTGATTTAATTGGCTCTGTAATAGTATTAAGACACTGTTACCCTGGCTGTGAGTTTGTTATCACACAGAGGGTTTCCTGATGGGTGGGTTTTTCCTCATTTCCTCTGTGTCCCACATGGTCACTTTCCCTTTTGCCATGTTACAACAGCACAGAGGCCCTTAACAGATGCTGCCACCATGTTTTTAGACTTTCCAGCCTTCGGCACTAGAAGTCAAACATACTTCTATTGTTTGTAAATTACCCAAGTCTAGAGTATTCTGTTATAGCAGCAGAAAATGGACCAACGCACAGACCTATTCAGAAACAATGCCACATCTAGGCATCCCTTATCCAGTCACTGACAACTAAAATGAATCAATCAGATGTGTTGTCTTGTTCTAAAATTATTATTATTATTATTGTTTTTTTTGGTTTTTCTCCGGTACCAGGAACCAAACTCACGACTTTGCACTTGCCAGGCAGGCGCTTTGCTGCTGAGCTAAATCCCCAGCCCCTCTAAAATTATTAACATAGATATTTTTGTCTTAACTCAGGTAACAACATCAATTCTTGGCTTGATATCATCTCTTTAGGATATTATTAATTATTAAATGATAATCCAGCAGGTTGTTGTATAAATGTGTTAGATATCAAGCGTTATTTTAGCCATGACTGAATAATCAGAATGAAGCCTTTATATTTACATTAGCACAGTTCTTTGAAGTCCTCTTAAGCCATATACTAAGTGAATTGTCATTGGGCTTAGATATCCATAAAATATTTTTGAATTTTACAATGCATCAAATAGTGGAAAACAGTGGAGAATTTCTCAATGTGATTCAGTTTATGCTGTATTCATGTGGAATGGCAGATCATTATATACTAACAACTTCAAAGGTTACCATGAAAAATTAAATTGTAGCAGAAATTTATAAATCCAAATGAGTAGGAGTGGGTACAGGAAAAGAAAGAAGGCAATTGGGTTTAGCAAACAATTTGAACTTTAAATTCTTTTGAAATAATTTTTAACTCTATACTGCATCTTGAATCAAAATAATTTCTGGCTGGACAACATGGGAGGCAGTCTTGGTATATATTGCTTTTATTTTATTTTATTTTTTTACTCATGGACCCTGGTATACTGCTTTTATTAAAGTTTCTTAATTTGAATTTGTAAATAGCAGCATCTATTTGGAACTAAATTAAAACAGGTTTCAATCCTTTAAAATTTTCTTTAGAATATAGCATTCTTTAGGAGTCTTGGTTACCTCAAGAATTCAATTTATAGTTTTTTAAGAAAATCATAGATTGTTTCTTAGTTGTCCATAAGTTGCAAAGTCTAACAATAATCACTTCAGAATGTCTCTAAAAGAGCTGGACAGGGGTCTGAATCATGGGACTTCAGCACAGTATTCTAAACATAGGAAACACTTTGCAGCTGCCTGTACTCTTAGTTAACCTAATATGTGAATATGCAAGGTATGTTCTTTTGTGAGATTTTAGTGCATAGTTCTGGAAGTACAGTCTAGAGGGTCATTGATTTCTATGGCAGGAAAAACCACTTCACTTTGTCCCTTGTAAGTCATCAGAAATGTGTAGCAAAGTCATGAATACACATGTCCATAAAATATTTAAAGTCATGCTGACCCGAAAGGCTTCTCTAGAGGTATTTCTGGGCTTTTTGAAGACACAGAGTGACAAATGCTGACTCAGTAGCCTCATGCCGTTTTTTTCCCCTTTCTGATTCTAGCAAGAGCAGAAAGGATTAGTGGCTACAGCTACTTACAAAACACATTCTGAGCACCTTTAATGTCCTTGGGGTTGTACTTGTTTATTTTGGGTGAGAGCATCAAGCACTGTCCTTGTTCATCAAACCTTAAATAGATTCCTATATATTTCAGGGAGTGATCTGAAAAGGGAAAATACAATTTCAGTGATGGTTGATTGTGTGTGGTGATAAAAAAATTGACAAGCTTATGACCAATAGAGCAATATCGCATTAAAAAACCTTTAATGGTTGTTTCTCAATATACTATTAGTCCATAAAACTTTTAATATGAAACTGTGTTTTGGTATTGCTTTAGTCAGGGTTCTTCAGAAAGACAGAATAAATAAGAGATCAGATAGATATGCAGATGGATAACAGATAGCGGGATTTATTAGAAATATTGTCTTATGTGACTATGAAGGCCGAGAAGTCCCAAGACAGGACGAGCCACTTGCAAGGTGGAGAATCACAGAAACCAGTAGCACAGCTCAGTCCACGCCTGAAGGTCTCCAAAGCAGAAAGGCAGGGGTATAATTCACAGTCTGAGATCAAAGGCCTGGGAACCTGGGGCCTACTGGTGCAAAGTCCCTATGTCTAAAGATTGATGAACCTAGAGTTCTATGTCCAAGGGCAGGAGAAGAAAGGTGTCCTGCTTCAGAAACTGGGGGTAAGGAGAAGGGAAGGAAGAGGAGAAAAAGAAGTTGGGGAAGAGAAGGAGAAAAGAGAAGATAAAGACAGACAGAAAGGAGAGACAGAGTAGATAGAGAATTCACCCCTCCTCCACCTTTTGGTTTCATACAGGCCGTGGTCACTCAATAATGTCCACTTACATTGAGGGTAGGCCTTTCTGCTGATTTCAGCCTACCAACTCACATCCATTTTGGCAATCCTAAAGTAGATACCATGGCTTCAACAATTTGGGCAAAGTGCTCTGAGAAAGATTACTGAATTATCCAAATATCACAAAGGGAGTATGCTATGGTTTGAATATTTTGTCTCCTCTAAAATTCATGTTGGAACTTAATTCCAGTGCAGCAGTATTGGGATGTGTGCTTAGGAGGCAATGGATTTGTGTGAGTGAGGCTGGTCATGACTGAACTTGCTGCTGGAACTTGGCAAAATTATGTCCTGTTCATGACTTGGATTATTTAAAAGACAGAATTTAAAAGTGATGAACTAGGAAGTTTAGTGGAAGAAATCCCTAAACACAAAGTCTTGAGGAGGCTGCATGACTTCTGCTAATGGCTTTCTTAATGGCTTATAATAAAATATAAGGGGAGAGAAATAATTTGAAGACTGAATGTATAATTACCAAGGAAGCAGAATTTAAAAATTTGGAAAATTCTTACCCTGGACATACAAAGAACACAAAAGTGTGTTTCAAGAAAAAGCCAACTGTTTAATAAGGAGATTAATATGGATTTTAAAACCCCAGGCATTCTTCATCATGACCATAGAATGACCCTCAAAATATTTCAGAGATCTCTGAGGCTGCCATGGTCTTCATAGGCCCAGTGTGCCAGGGCCTTGAGAACAGAATAGTTTTTTGTTGAGAGGGTTGTTTCCGATACCGGGAATTGAACTCATGACCTTGAGCTTGCCGGGCAGGTGCTGTGCTGCTGGGCTAAATCCCCAGCCCCAGAATGGTTTTAAGGAAGGCAACAGGGCATCTGTGGGACATCACAGCTCACTGCTCAGGACCACATTGGGTCTCTGCTCACCATATTCTAGCACAGCACTTTCCGGTGTCCCATCTATGGCTCATACAGACTTGGTATGGCTCAGGCTTTAGCTCTAGAAGGTGGAAGCAATGAGCCTTGGCAGTGTCCACATGGTACTAACTTTGCAGGTGCACAGAGTGGAAGAGCTGTGGGACCGTGACTACTTCTACCTCAGTTTCAAAGTAGACAGCCTCAGAGCCCAGACAAAGACTTGTGACAAGGTTAAAGTCACTGCAAAGGCACCCAATAAGA